GCTTGTTCAAGGTCAGAATGTTCTACACGCAGAACCCTCTACGCCGATTCTTCCAGAACCCCACGCGTGTACATAAGAAACTCCGCGTAGCGAGCCGCACTCAGTCTCGCCCAAGCGCTCGATCCTGCGGTTTCGCCGACACGACGTCCACGACGCTCTGCTGTTATCTTCTGTTCCCTTTTCGTTTCGGGCACAAGTTCACCCCATAAAACGTTTAGTTTACTTCAGTTTTCGTCGCCTCATCACTTGTCATTCGTGATAATATGGTATCACGGTCGTTCTAACATTCCGCCTGACCTTTTCAATTCTCCCTCCCTGAAGCTTTTGTAACAATCCTTCTGCTACATGTTTAAGGAGCGTAAGAGGGCACCATCCATCTTCTAGTTTTTCACTCGTATACCAAAGCCGTCCACCATTTTGTGTGAGCATGACTTAGTCAGCGAGGTTCCCAAGCACGTAGTAGCAATACCTCTCTTAATAATTTTAGAGTGGTTTGAGTCGTAGGGCAACACCGCTTTCCTTGCTCTGGCGGAGTACATCCACCATACATGGGACGGCATAAATATCAGTTTCAAGTCCAAAAATGGTAAAATGCGCTGTACAGGATCTTTTGCAGTGAAACTCAGACCGGCGGCGCAGTTCTTCAAAGCCTTCAGCGTTTTTTAAAATAAACTTTCTTTTTCACTTCTCTCGGGGGAAGGAAGTACAAGAGCAGATCGAATTTATTAAAAAAAAACAAAAAAAAAAAAAACGTTGGATGTTGTTAAGAACTGCGCCGCCGGTCTCAGTTTCATTACAGAAGATCCTCTACAGCGCATTATAGAATTTTTGGACCTGAAACTGATATTTATGCCGTCCCATGTGTATGTCGGATATACTCCGGCAGGGCAAGGAAAGCGGTGTTACCCTACGATTCAAACCACTCTAAAATTATTAAAACAGGTATTGCCACTACGTGCTTGGAGCCTCGCTGACCAAGTCCTGCTCACACAAAATGGTGGACGGCTTTGGTATACAAGTGAAGAAACTAGAAGACGGAGGGTACCCTCTTACGCGTATTAAACATGTGGCAAAAGGATTGTTACAAAACTTCGGGGAGGGGAAAGTGGTAGTGGAAATGTCAGGCGGAAGGTTAGAACGACCGTGATACCATATGTGCACAAATTTAGCCATAGTCTGAAGAAAGTAGGCGGAAAACATGGAGTACCGGTACTATCCTCTGCGCCTCAGAAATCGGGTAAACAGTGTGCAAGAATGAAACGAGATTTGAGGGTAGGTATATGTAAGAAGCATGGAACTAAATATGTGAAGTGCAAGGAAGGGGTGGCGTATAGAATACCCTTAACGTGTGGGAGGGTTTACATAGCACAAACCGGAAGGTGCATCAACGACAGACTAAAGGAACACGCACTCGCAGTAAGATCTTCGCCCTCGGTTAATCTTGCGATACACTGAAACCGACGCGATTGTGGCACAAAGCTTCAGGAAACTGTTATCCTGAGCAGGAATCGTAACAAAATGACTAGGGAAATTTCGGAGGCATTTCCTATAAGGAAGTGCGACGGCGACACGTGCATCAGCGCCCCATCGATAGCATTGTACGATTCGGAGGTGGCATATCTCCAGTCCTTTGTTAGCTCAAGCTAGAAAGATTATATGTAGATTATTGAACAATGTGTTTGCATGACGTGAATGGTTGTTGACAAGGCATATATGTTTCTTCTTTGGTTCAAGTCAGATTAAACCTCAGTGTGTGTGTAAGCGTTGTGAATGACATGGGGGGTGGGGGTTAAACCTCTGTTGCAAGTGCGTTCTACTGTGTGTGTCTTCTTTTAGTGGTCCTCGTTTTTTATCGCTTTCAATCCTGAAATGACAGGCGACGGCTTCACAAAACGCAGCTTTACGAAATTCGGAGCAACTAGCCAAAAAACATTTCACAATTTAAAAGAAAAGGGACTTGTTGGATTAGGAAGAATGATAATATGACGTTACAAGTTTAGAACGTGGGAACGTTGGTGGAACTGGCACGTCACTGAAAGAGTAGGCACGGCTGTTTATTTTTAGAGCACTGCTCTTACGCGCACATTTCCGCGTTTCGCGGCGTCGCCGTCCGTGTCGACGTTGCCGTCGGCGTAACCGCCCCGAGCGGGAGATTGAATTGGTACAGAGGTCACGTGACATCAATTTTCCCGCTAAATCTACAGGAGAAACTGAATTTGTTCAGGGGAGACGTGAGACAAAGTCACGTGCCGTAAATTTCCCCGGTGAATTTAGCGGGGAAACCTAACCGGCTAAAATTAGCCAGGAAATTTCCCCGCTAAGTTTAGCGGGTTAAGGAGGAAGAGGTGAGGGTACGGAGGGGCATACACGCCCTTCGTACCCTCCCATCCTCCTCCTCAAGAGCCGCGCTCTAATTTGCAATACGGAAATTCGTAAAAGTCTCATATATTTAACACCGTGAAATTTCAAGGTTTCTTCTTGATGCTTGTGGTTGTTGGTAATGTTCCTCGACTTGCACTTGTACGGTTGAAGGACGTTAACAATTTCTAGGCTCCAACGAATCCCGGTTTGTTAAAGGGGTACTCCGCCGATTTTTGAGCTACCTCAACTAACTATATTTTCTGACTCCCCGGCCTTTGCCCTTTCTGGTATGCTATTTGGTATCGTGAAATTCATAATAGTTATTGCGAAATCGGCAAATGAAAATGATGCAAAAACAAACATTCAAATATACCCGCCCTTTTCAGGGCCGTGACGTCACTGGAAGTTTAGCTTGCCAGTCGGGCGAGCAGTCTAAAAAATAGAATATGCCACTCGTTTGTTCCATGCTGGAGCGCGGGGACTGGAACGAGCTTCCAAAGCATTCATTTGACACCATGAAACTGCTTCGAATCAGTTGGGAACAAATTCTACAGTCCAAAGAGTGAACCGCTGCACTTCCAATGACGTCACTTTTTCATTGTTGCCAGTAGAGACTTTCAGTTTGAAAAACACGGTGAAGACTAAAATTGTAAATTCAATAACTTCGTGAAAAAAAATTATTTTGACCTAATATTTGGGATACTATTTTGGCGATGTTGTCTGGCGAGTTTAGCAAAATTTCAAGCAAATCGGGGACCATGAAGAAATCGGCGGAGTACCCCTTTAAAGGGGCAGTGCAACGGTTTTAATGTTGAAAGATTCGCCAGTTTGCATTTTTTGTATTGTTTATACAAGCCCAAGCGACCAAACACGCGTCACCTTTCCCCGAACATCGACTCTTCTGCTGCGTAATCGCAGGGCAAAAAACGAATTATTTGCCGATCTGCAGCCGCCGGTGGCGGCTACGGGAACTAAAATGACGGCGTCTCTGGGGGATACGCGGAAGACAACAAACCCTGTCCCCCTCCGCTGCTACACTCGCCGTCAGCCCCTTGGCGAACCGTCCTTTGTGTCCATTGCTCGCCGCGACCTTCGACGAGGCTAATCCTTTGAAAGTCGACAATCGCGGAGGAAGCGGCTGGGGTCTCTAAAGAGAGGGCCCAATGGGAAACCACGTGTACCCCCAGAGACACCACTCGAAAGTCGGCGTGGAGAGTTGAGAGGCACTTCGACCTTCGATTTGTTTCATTTTTTTTTTTTTTAAATAAGAACTAGCGCTCGCAAAAAAATGCGGCTTTCGGTTTTTCGTTTCATAGGTGACGCAGACCAATTTCCGCAGTTAATTGGCCAAAGTCTGAAAATCGTTGCAATGCCCCTTTAAGAGACGTCTTCGCATACGTATCTTGTTTTATCAAAAACCAACTTGGTTAAACTGGATCAATTTCTGTTAAAGCGAAACAAAACCAGTGAGTTATGGCGAACTCCGTGTTGGGAAAAATAATCAAGCCACATTGACTCTAAGCTACGCCAACTTTGTACGTATTTTTTTTTTTTTTATGTAGTATTTTTAGTCACTAGATGAAGCACTTGAAAACGTTGTCAAGAAAGAATCGTTCCTAAGTTTACACCTATTCAGGCCGCCTTCACTTTCGTTGTCGTCCGCGTCTCAGCTGATATAATAAATAAACGTGATTCTTTAGAGCACGCTGTGTTGTCACTTTTTTTCTTTAAGTTGCGGCCAATATTATGATTGTTCATTTCGGCGAAATATTTTATTATTTGGTGTTTCACATATTTATTTGATTTAACCTGTTATAGTGAAACGCATACTTACTAACTAACCATTCTTTGTTTGCTTGTGTTTGGACAAATACTCGGTTTACGAAATACTGAATGGTCTTCACAGCAGAAAGTGTATTTATGTTATGTGTGCGTTTAGACAACGGTAGCTTGGTCAGCCCCAATGTGAGTCGCTTGCAGGGTAAAAGAATAAAGATGTGCCTGAACGGCGCTTCCCGCCATCGAACACTGGAGTTGAAGTTTCGTTTAAATATCTGACCAACGCCGTGAGACGGCGCTGCACGTATAGCGTAGTAGGAGACCTATACGAGCGCCAATCGAGGGGCATTCTTTATTCTGGCACACGTTTTCAGTGTCTCAAGGTGCACGACTGCACCTGCGTGAGGTGTCCTAAACTGATAGTGCCGGTGCCGGGAGATGCGTGAAGTTAAACCTTTACCTCGTTGGCTGGCCTCGTTTGGATGCCCCTTTGTTCTTTGTTGTTCCACCGTGGGCAGGTGTCTACGCTGTCGGCGAGAAATTTTGCCAGTGCAGCGCCAGTGCTAGCCGTGGATAACAGCGCCGTGCACGTGCATAACACAGTAGTGGTGCGTAACGCAGTAGGAGTAGCCGTGCACGTACATAACGTAATAGTGGTCACACGAACATGCATCGGTACGATGCCTAACCAGACTAAAACGGGTGGGGCTGGGAATCGAGTTCCAGATCCCTGGATCTTGCAGCGCGAGCTTTCGCTCCACGTACTCCAAGCTGACGTTCGTTAACACACTTGGGGAGCGATTCACCTTTTTCCTATGAACAGAGGATAAGAGAAAGCACAGCAGAGTCACGTGGCTTACCTCTGGGCGTCAGCGAGGGACCTAGCTGCCGCGTAGCGCTGAATGACCATCTGATCCATGCCCACGCGATAGATGTGGGTAGCGATCAGGCCAATCATGTTGGCCCAGACGTTCTCGTCATTGGTCAGGTCGAAGCTAGCCCTGCAAAACAAATCCTTTACTGCTCTGTTCTCGCAAATACTAAAATACAGGGATGAGCAGCATTTCAAATACCCTTCAAACTGCTGATCTCTGCAAACATGTACAAAGTATTCCACCAATTTGGAGGGATCATCAGGTTTATGATAATTTCTTTTTTCGTCATAATATTAAGTGACTATACAGTCGCTCAGGGGATGATAGCAGCAGGCAAGGTATTTTGAAAGACAACGAGCGCGTGCTTGGGTCCGGGCATTTGAAACATGCGCCCTGTCTTTCTCATCCTGGCAGCGACTATGGGAAAGGAGCACAGAGTGTCGAATCGGAACTGAACCGAACCGAAATTGTCACCACCATCTTGAAACTGAACCGGAATTGAACGGGAAAATATTTAACGGTAACCGGTTCACAACTGTTCATTGCATTTTCTTTTGTATTACAAAATAAATACAAAATAAATTTTTGAGAAAAAAATTGACAGCAGTATTCCTGCGTAGGGATCAAATTTTCACATATCAAATTGTAATGTGCGAGAAATTGTAGGTTTTCGTGGCGCTTTTGTATTTACACCATTATCAATCATCTGTCACGTGCTCACTTGACGTCATTGTGTCAAGGCATGTTGTCAAGTAATCTCACGCCACGTGGCCCTGTGACGTAGTTGCGTGACTCACTGCTTCAGGTCTACTTAAATTGAGAACATCACTAGATTTATTTGAGATGTTGACACCGTGACGTCACAAAGCATCACGAATTCTCACCGCGAGTCACATGACAACGTGACATACTCAATTGTCATTAGCGCGAGTCCAGTACTCGGGTTCATGAAAATCAACATCTTCGAACATTCGGGTAATGGCTCGTGCTCAATCAAATATGAGAATAGCTGAACTCTATCCATGCCTAAAGCTTAACCCATCCTTACTTTTTTTCCTACCCCAGCGCTGACTGTGATGAACACTGACGGTATACACTAACTAGTGTCAGATCACGTGGTCGCTCGTTCTAATACCGAGTTGAGGAGGGGAAAACCTTTCTTTTATCTTTCCGGCGTCCTCCATTGAGCGGAGAGAAAAACTATTGGGCGTATATAGAAGTTATCAAAGTCGGGGATTAGCTCTCAACGGTATTTACTGGAAATACAAAACTTTTTTCACTACCTATTTTAGATATACACATTATTGAGGCATTCAAACATGTTTTCGTTCTTGCTGAACTGTCCCAGAAAGTTGTCCCCGAGAATAAAATCATTGAAAGGACTAAATGTGACATGTTCATCCCACGATAAATCGATGTACAAGTGTGTACGAGAGGAATACGAGAAAGAAAACTCCTAGTGGTCTCAGACGGACAGCCGAACGTTGACAGCCGCTTGTAGTCTCACAGGAGTGTCGTTCTCAATTTCCCCCCAAGTTTTGACCACCTCCGTTTTTGTTCAAACTTCACAGTTTCGGGGTGTAAAATGAAAGAAATTGAGGATTAGTGTCAACAAAAGTCACAAATATAATTTTCAAAGTAATACCCCCAAATGTAGGTGGGAGTTTCTCAGGAATAAAAACTGTTCTCTGGAGGAGCATCAAAAAAAGAAAACGGGAAAAGGGGGGGGTTGGTGGGGGGGGGGGGGGGGGGGTAAATCATACTGTGTTGTAAAGGTTCCTCTGCTCCGCATCTTCGGCACAGCCCAGAAAGCGTGGTCCATGAAACTGCTTTGTTTGCAAAAACACTTCTGTCAGAAAACGCGTTTTTGTTGTGCAAGACGGGTTTTTGTTGTGCTTTCCTCACAACGCTGCACCAAGCAAGAAAAATCTTTGTCTCTCGAATATATGACTTGCACTGAGCGCGAACCTCTTGCAGCGTGGATTTCGCACCACCGGATTTGATTTTCTCAGCAAGAACAAATTGCAATGACTACCAGCATACAGTGCGAAGATGCCACGTGTGAATCACGTTGAACAGATAGGAAATGCGATGTTCTCAACACTAGCCAGAAGGGATGTTCAAATTGTAAAGGTGTGCAGCATATAAAGCAGTCTCCCGATAATACGCGGCAGCTTAATACAATGTTAGAACGCGCATGACTGATAAAGCACGGAGTACTAAATTGAGAGCCCAAAACAAGTGCACGTATAACCGAACAAAACATTAGCCTCCCAAGACGGTATTTTGCGCAGTTTCGAAACCGTGCTAGCAGATGTCCAAACGTGATTTCGATTAGAAATATATTGTCTGTCCTTCGCTCTATTTATACGTAATTAGGAATATCACTATATGCATCTCCATCTATTTGTTTTTGCAGTAAGGCGTTGTTTATGAGATTATTTAGAAGTATACCACTGATTATCTCTCTGCACATTTCGTGTATTTGCCTTCAGATTTGTTATGTCAGGACACACTTTTTTTTTTTTTTGGCATACCCTCCGACCCGGTGTTTCACACTGCCAAACAGCGAAGAAAAAGTACATTTCCGGAGACTCAGCAGCTGGATTATTTCGGAGTATCGTCCTTCCGTGTCAGTCTCAAGTGGTTACGTAAACTTCACACAGTCAAATTTATTGAGGATAATGAAAATAAATTAAATTACTGCCTGAAGATTTGACAACATAAATAAAGGTACATCATCTTAAAGATTTACACTATAAGTAAATGCTCCCCCATATCATCTGAAATATGCTCTGCGAATCATTTCTTACGTTTTTATCCTCGATAAAAACGCCGGAAAGTGACCGGCGTTTTTATAAGTGATTTGGGAGATCCATAAACATTTTTTTTTCAATTGAAGTCGATCTAAATAACTATGGATTTCTTACAGATATTTAACGTATAAAAATGTTAGAGGTATGTTGCCTGTTTTATGTGATTAACTATAATTTTATGTGTTTGTGGCCTGGACAAAAATAAAGTACACAGGGGCGCGTGGCGAACTATGAAGATTACGCACGCACACCGTGAGAAAGTGACCAGACAAGTATTGGCAATGTCGGGTGGAGTATAAAATACCGCTTTGTTTTATTTATCAAGAAATCCCGATATCGAAAAGGTGATGCGTAGTTGCAAATTGAATTGACCGGCATCTTGTCAAGAGCAAAACCCAAACGCCAAGCTATTTCGAAAACGTTCACTTGCGTACGCGCTGTTTTAGGCCAGATTTTGTCAGAGTACGAAGGTGCGTATAGATTTGAGTGTGTAATTTTCATCACTCGTTTCTGCATGATTATTCGCCTGCATCACGGTGCCGAGTGTAAACAATGCTAGTCAGGAAAGCGAGCCTTGTGATTGCCGAACAGAGTTTCGATTAGTTCATTCTCGCATGAATTGAAACGCGTTGGCGTCAGTGTGCAAATAGCCCCCAACCACTTCCGGTTTTGAACTAGACGGCGGGTTTCAAAGCATGTTCGAAATCAAGTATACACGTTATCTTCTGGAAATAACCAGTTACACCACTGTCAGACTTAATTCACCTTTACGATGAAAGAATTCTGAGTCGAATATTTGGAAAAATACGTGAATCGGGAGTGTGCCGGGGCTGCCCTGTAGATGGCGCCACTGAGTTTGTTGCCAAGCGAAAAAGGGCGAAGGGGCCCGTCCTTAAACATTTGGGACATTTTTTTTGCAAATACCGCTTTTGGATGAGTTGCGTACTCATCATATACACTGTGAAATGTATTTTATAAAAAAGATTTCACAATATAAATGGCGAGGAGATGCCCTTCATTGATCTAGTGAACTGTAATTATTTCCTAAGGTCAAGAGCGCAACTAATATTCAACTTCTAATACTGTAACGCAAAGTTGTACCAATCACGGCTCTTTTAGGCAACCTACAAAATGGATAACATTTCGATTCGGGTAAAATTTATGCCACTGAGGTATACAAATAGATATTGATTCGTATAAACACGATGTTTTTTTTTTATGTTGATCTAGCTTTTTGACTGTTTCGTTGAAATTAAATAACGCAATATCTTTTTTTCAGTACTTGAAAATAAAAATGGATCATACGAGTTAGAAAAGGCTATAGGGTTATTCGTCTCACGCTTGAAATAGTGCCTAATGCCAAAACAACGTGGAAAATATATTCTAAAATTAGCAGTTCAAACCGGTTCGAACCGGTACGAGCCGGTTATTTTTGCTCCCCGGAACTGAACCGGAACTGAAGCAAAAGCCGTGAATCCGAACAGGAATCGAACCGATAAAAATTTCGGTTCGACACACTGAAGGAGCACCCCGGCGGCGTCGCCTCCGTCGCCTATTGTTTGTAAATAGCCTGTATTGTAGAGAGGGTCCAATGCAAACCATGGAAGTGTTTAGTTTTAATGGCGGACGCCTCCATTAGAGATTAGTCGCCAGTGCGCACGCGCTGCGTTATCGCGTATCTACCGGAGGAAAGCAGGCGGAAGGGCGGAGACGCTAACGCACGACCAACGCGTTCGTCACCTGTAGCTCGTATTGCAAACGCGGTCAATAAATCCCGTGACACCAATCAAGCAATGGAACTTCTCTGTAGTACAGGCTTTCTAATTGTTCGCTGCCACCTAGCGGTTGTCGCCGCCAACTTACCGGGAAGTAATTGTGACGAATTGCGCAGGCCTAGTGTGTCTGCCATTATAATGACGCGATTTAAGGTTCTCACGAATTCCGCAAGCTTTTTCATTGGCGCGAAGCTTCAGCGAACGCAATATGAGTGCAGTGGCCTAAAAAGGACCTACCGATAAAAAATTATATGTTTCCCGCTAGACGCGCCCTGGTCGGGGCTTAAGTTATGTCTGCTCTTTTCAATCAAAGTCTCCACTTCCATTAACTTTTAGACTTTAAAATAACCCTGATAAAATAAGTGCGTTCTTTTCTTGTTTTGTTTTTTCGTGGGAGTAAGGTCCGTTACGCGAAAGTACAGTCTGAGACCTGGCTCATTAAAACTAAATCCACTACACAGACTGAGCGAAACTACAAAACAAACAATAAAAATTTGTCTGGCTTAGACACCGTGTAAAATGCAATAGGGTGATT